GCCCTGGGTGCGAACAGAGAGGATTCAGGGGAGCTACCTTCCCGAACACAATGATGTCAAACCGGATGCCATAGGCCTTGACGAGGGTCCGGTGCTCCATGCCGGCTGGGCTCGTATAGTACTTGGCGAACCTGGGGGAAGGAGGCAGGGTTACAGGAACTCAGCCTGGGCCGAGGAGGACGAGTGGCCGGATTTACGGCTTGAGGAAGGTTTGAGCAGCACTCACCCAACTCCCGGCAGAGCTGGCACTGGCTAAAGATTTGCTCTGCCTGCTGAGCAGACAGCTTGGCACCCCTGGGTTCTCCTGCTAAGGTGGGCCACACAGCAGCAGGGCTGGCCCATGGCGGGGGGGCCAGGATGCTGGCAGAGGGCAAAGGAAGCGCTCCCCTAATCATGACAAGATGGCTCCGATGGCTGAAGCCAGAATGGCCTGCTCTGACCATCCTTCCTGATACGGCCGAGCCACCTGCCCCTCTCGGCCACCCTGGTCACTACTGGAAAGTCAGCCAGCACAACCTCCAGGACCACTTGGGGGTGCTGGGGTCAGCTACAAAACAGCATCAGCACTGCTATTTTTAGAAGAACCACTGATCCATCCAGAGATGAATGGAGAAACAAAATGCAGTCTATCCAGACCATGGAATATTATTCAGCCATAAAAAGGAATGAAGTTCTCATACATGCTATACCATGGACAGACCTCAAAAACATTATGCTAAGTGAAAGAAGCCAGTCACAGGACACACAGAGTGTTTCTATTCATAGGAAATGTCCAGAAGAGGCAAATCTACAGACAGAAAGTAGATCAGTTGGTTTCTTAGGTCTGAGGGGGAGGGAGAGTAGGGAGGTGATAGCTAAACAGCAGTGTTTTCTAGAGGTGACGAATGATTTAAAATTAGATAGTGGTGATGGTTGCTCAACTCTGTAAACAGACTAAAAACCACTGACTTGTATACTGTAGAAGGGTGGTACGTGGATTATATCTCAATCAAGTTGTTTAAAAAACAGGGAGGGAGGAGAGAACCTTTGAGACAGGATACCATGTGCTGCCCTGTATCCACAGGGAGCCACCAGGAGCCTACACTAGGACCGTGACCCATCTGGCCCGCATCTTCCACATTGTGGTCAGCCCAGGGACCTCGGGTGGGGCCAGAGGTTGGGGGATGGTGTCCTTCTCAAGGGCCCTACTGCTTTCTCCCTGTGCAAGCCAAGCTTGAGGTTCCCCACAGTGGTTTCTATAAGAACTGGGTGACAGCTGACATGGGGCAAGCCAAATCTAACTCCCCTACTAGGAAACCCTCTGGGGCAGTTCTCCTCTGTCCTA